AGATATAGTGATTTCAGCCTTTTATTTCCAAGTTCCAGATGTGTATATATATCATTTCTGTCTCTGTCTCTGTCTCTCTCTCTGTCTCTGTCTCTGTCTCTATCTCTCTCTCTTTTGGTGTCCTTGAGATATACTGAAAAGAAAGGAATGCATGAAGGTAAGTTAGGTCCAAGGACAAAAGAACTATGATATTGTTTCCATTCTATATAAATATAAGTTAATATTAAAACAACTGCCTACTTTGACATATAAAATCTGTTCTTAGAAAATTCATTAAAACTATGGTAAGGTCTGTTTCACATAACTGAATCTTTTAAAACTATATGACAAAATCAAGAGAAGGTTTGCATAAAGCATTAGCATACCAAGAAAATGTGTTTAGTTAGATTATAAATGGAATATAATGAGCATAGTTTTATATGAGAAAATAGCACCTTCAAACTGGAATTCTTTCAGCCTGAGTGTTAGAAATTATTTTTGACTGGTTCAAGATATCACATTACCTTTTATAATTCACACAGCTTTATCAAAATAGCACTAGATTAAGATGCATGCCAACCAATACCTTGGAATATAAATGTTTATTTTTAATCTTCATCATTATTAGAGTATCTTACAATATTTGTTTTATCCTTATATTTGTTTTGACAATTATTTATTTGTTCATTCAACAAACAATATACTTATTATATGTCAGGCACTTTTCCAGGCACTGGGATATTGCAGTGAATAAGAAAAAATTCCTGTTCTCACTTAGCTTATATAGTCTACAAGGAAGACAAAAATGATAAACAAATAAACAAGAAAGAGGATAATTAGTTACTACGTACTGTGCAAAAAATGAATAAACTGGCAAATTAGATCTAGAATAATGTCAGAATTACAAAAGACACAGACAGGTAGAAGGGCCTTCTAAGAATCAGGAGAGCAAAGCCAGGAATGGGAGAGCAGACACACGTACGTGCTTGGGTAAAATCAGCAGTTCAATTGGGAGAATAAGAAAAACAAGCCCACAGAGGGCCATGAAGAGTCAGATGGTAGAAGGTAATATTAACAGAAACGTGATGAACACTTCATTAATTTCTTTGTGCCCAAAGTACAAATACACCCTATGCTAAGATGAAAATTTGTATCATAGCATCTACAATAAAAATTACTAACATCAGAGTGAAATGAAGAATTATTAATTCAGAGTCAGATGTTAGAAAATTAAAGATGAAATGAAAATTTTAAAAGTCAATTTTAATTATTTTTCATTTCCTTCAAAAGAAATAAAAAAGAACGTCGAGAGGAGGAAATTTGAAATCTGAATAATTATTTCTTAGTTGTATTGTCTTATTTGCATTGTCTTATATTACCAGTTATCATGCAAATCATAAAGTCTGATAATTAACTATTACTCTGATTCTGCCATAGGCAATAACACATATAATTCATAAGTGCAAAGTATTTCTGGTTCTACAGTGTTTTATTTATGTCTATTGACTCATAAAATATAAAATGATGATTTTGTTTCATTTTAAAATGAGAATTTTTCTATTTTCAGTTATGATTGATCTTTTAATAATGAAATATAAATTCAAAGCTTACAATTTTTTTCTTCTTCTTTATGTATCTCAACCTCATATTCATACCATTGCCTCCCAAACTCATATTTACATTTCTTAGCAAAGTCTAAGAGATACAAGAAATACAAGGCAAATGAATTTTTAAATGAGATATATAAGCCATCTCTTCTCAATTTGCTCAGGAGATATCAGAATGTACTATCAGAATGTACAACATTTAATAATTTAAAAAGTTTTATTACTATTGTCATCTTCACATTTTTAATATATTCAAAATTGAATGAAAAGTTATGCTTTTATCCAATAAATTAAGTATCTGCTATATGTCAGGCACTGTTCTATGCCTCCTTCTAAGGAATTTCACAGATAAAAAGAGGGACATGATGGTTATAATGGGGTGTCTATATTGCTGATGAATCTTAGCATGATGAAGGGGCAACATCCATCACTTAAATCCTTGAAAGGGACGCTAATGATGTCTAGGGCTTGTTTGTTTGGGATTCTAGCTTCATTTAAAATATAGTTTAAATGACTTTCTCTTAAAAAGCACCTCAATTTCTGACTTTTATTTCTTTAAATTCAGCTTAACTTACTCCATTCAGCAGCATAATTTCTCTCTAACTTTCATACTATGGAATTAATTAAGGATATTAGGGAGAAACAGATGAAAAGGCCATCTTTGAATTCTTCCCAGATTCTTACACAGAACAGTAATTGAGGCTAATAAAATAATTTACTCTAGTCATTCTGGGAAACATATATGTCAGTAATTAACAAGTTTAAGTGCTAAATGCACCATTAGCATGGACAGCATATTCAGATGAGAGTTCCAAACTCTCACAAGATTTTATCCTCCAATGCTTTTATTTAATGCAAAAATTGCTACAGTTTTAATTAGTTTACATTTAAATATGATCTTTCTGGGCCCAGCCTAAAATACAAAGTATCTTTTTCTCAAAAGTAATTAGGGGGACCAATTATGCTCCTCTAAAACTGAGTTTCTCACTCTTAGCTTCTCTGGTTTCCTGGCTTTTCTAGACCTGAATGAACTCTTACACCTTTGCCCCACAGGTGGACCTTTCTGTTAATTTGCAATCTCCTCATGCTAACCTCTGTGTCTGTGCAGTTATGCAAGGTAGATCCACTTCCTGAAATGCAGTGTCTCTGAGAAGTTTTCTCTTTCCAAAGTTTCTCAATTTTACTTTGTGCTTAAAGCATTTACGCACATAATAAATGCAAAAAAAAAAAAAAACAACTTTATTATAGCCTCTTAAGATTTTAACTAGAATGGGGGAAAATGAGGCAAATGAAGGTGTTCTTAATTCTGAATGAATATCTCATGGTTCCTGTTACCTGGTTATTGCATAGATCAATTGTGGCTAATCAAGCTGAGTAAATATTTTTATCTAGGCCTTAAATAAAAACAATCCCCCAAAAGTAGAGAGGGTAAGAAAATCTCTGCCATCTTTATCTAGATGGCATAAGCAAATAAACTAGTCTAATGAATCTTTCATATGTTCTTTTATGAGTAAACAAGAGTTTTTGTTTTGGAATTTTAAGCATAAGACAATGTACATGGAAAACAATTCAAAGGGTATTGCAAAAGCCACTCATTTGCAATAAGTAATTGATGTCAACGAGGACATTTTTGGTTATATGTGAGTGCGTTTGCACATATATTTTTTTAGAAACTCAAATAGAACTATATACATCATATTTTACATCTTGATATTGTTTGCATCTTGATATTGTTTTAGTGATATCTTCATATCAATATATAGATCCATATAATCTTTCTTAATTACCTTCCTAAAATTCCATCAAAATATTAATAATTTCATATTGGTCATTTCAGGTTGTTTCTAGGTTTCTACTATCTCAATCAGGGCCACAAATGAAAATTTTTCTTATTTATGTCATCTTAATGAGCATGAATTCCACTCAGTTATGGCTTTGTATTTTTGTATAATCCAGTGCTAATGTGGCCATTTTCAATGATATGCTTCTAGATTATAATACCTGTGACTGTTTTATTCCTGCTTCATTGTATGCATTCTACCTATGCCAATTGATACCACCTATCTATAGAAATGTCATATTTAATTGAATTTCTAAAACCATAAGTGATTTTTTAAAAAAGTGAGTGGCCATAGACTAATGACCATTTTTTAGTTTAAAATATGTAGCATCATGTCATGTACTACCCAACAATTCAGTAAGTCAACAATGATTACCATAATTCTCTACTAAGAAGCTAACAGTATATATTTCTAAAGCAAGGTAAAAATTAAATCCTAAAAATCCACCTTAATTTTACTTTATTTAAATTCGACTTTATTTATTTAAAATTTTTAAAAATATTTCAAGCATAGAGATTATAGAATGACTAAATCTAGCTAATTAATATATTAATTACCTCACAGTTATCATTTTAGTGGTGAGAACACTTTACATTCACTGTTAGCATTTTTCAAGAATACAATGTATTATTAACTGTAGTCATATTATATAATAGATCCATTATTAAATACTCATTTTATTGAATATTTTATTTCCACCAAATGAAATGATATTGGAACACAATGAAAATACAAAGAGATGTTTAGATACCTTAATTTTCAAATAAAATGATACATTCATGAATTAATTCAATAAAAATCTAGGTAAAATTTAAAGTACTATTCTTTCACTAAATTTTACTAATAGTAATCCAGAGAATATTTTAAAAGCTAGTGCATGTAGTGCTCTCTACTGGCCTTATCTTTATTGCAACTACAATCTGTATCAAATGTATAGTTACACACTGGCATGAAAATCATCTATCTCAAAAGACCAATAGTATTAATATTTTAATAATAATTTCCATTTGTTTTGTATTTTAGGGTTGTGTGTATGTATGTATGTATGTATGTGCATGCATAAATGTTCATTCTTGAAATTCTACACTGAAGTCAGTTGTGAACTCTGCAAATGAGTTGTTGGCATCATCACCAATAATTATGTAATAAAGAGAAAATACAAAAAGATGGGTGTAGAGCATGAATGTAAGGTCTATTATTTTTCAGTTCAGTTAATAAACTATGGAATTGCTAACATGCTTGCTTTCTGTGTCTCTGGAGAAGACAAGTGAAGTCCTCCTAGGAGCAGAATGAGTGTATCTTCAGGAATTCACAGCGGACAGTGACCACCGTCATGGACTCTTTCTTTTCTTTCCTCTCTCTAACACTTCTTCCTTCCTTCACCAGCCCCCTAACACTCAAAAAATCTCACTCGTGCTTTTTGAAAGCTTAGAAGAAAATGTTATTACAGTGGTTATGAAAGCCATTTCCTTCAGGAGAGAGAAAGAGTGTATTTGTATGTGTATGTGTATGTGTGTGTGTGAGAGAGAGAGAGAGAAAGTGAGAGTAAGTGTGTTTGAGAGAGGAGAGAGAGAGATGCATTTTTCATTCACTTGATAATTTCATTTTGAATGGCTCCTATGTGCCACACACTGTGCTAAACACTTAAGATAAAGCAGTATTCAAAATAATCAAAACCCTACTAGAATTAATGGTATTTGTAAGAATTATTCCTCAAAATAGTTATCAATGCTATTAAGGAAAGTACATTGTGCAATGAGAGGCTGTAATTGATATGTAAACTATTATGGGGATTCAGAAAAAACTTCTCCAAAGAAGTAACATTTATGGTATGATGTGAAGAGTAAACCTTAGACATTAACCCAGCAAAGGTGAGGGCTGTAGAGAGCATTCCAAGATCAAGTACTCTATAGGGGAGGCTCCTGGGGCATAAGGGTGCTTTTCAAGAAGCAGACAGAAGGGTCAATGTGGCTAAAGGAAACAGATCAAGACAGTCTGCCAAGTTAAGGTGAAAATGCCACAGTAGGGGTTTTGGATTTCATCCCAAGATAAATGGGAAGTTATTAAGTAATCCTAAATAGAATAATAATTGAAATGAACAACTTTGTATTTTCTTTAAATCTCTGCATGCAATGTGGGGGCAGTGAGTGGGGTGCATGAAGCAGGTGTAAATTAGAGGAGACCAATGAAGAGTCTATTTAGCAATCCAGGTGAGAGAATATGGTGGCGTGGTCTAGGAAGACAGAATTGAAATTCAGTGAAATGGATAGACTCCAGAAATGTTTGGAAGATAATATCAACAGACCTTGGTGGCAGGTTGTAGGCAAATGGTAAAGGAGACTGGACATTAAAAATACTTCTTAGACTTCTGACATGAATGAATGGATAAATGGTGATAAGGACCATTAAAGAAGGAATGGTTTGGGGAGAAAAGAGCATGTGTTTAGTTTTAACCTATGAAGTTTGATGTGGCTTTGAGATATCAAAATGGTTATGACATAACTGATGTCATAGCTTAGAAGAGAGTTCTGAGCTAGAGGTATATATAAACTTGGAAACCAGTTGAATTATAATTTAAATCACTGGAGTAGAGGAATGTATAAATATACAGAGTTAGGAAACAGTGGAATATATTTTATTATTAAAACAGTCTACTTGTCTGGAACATAGGAGACATGAAGGAGAGTAGCAAAATATTATGGGTAGAAAGAAGCTGGTAGGAAAAAGAAAAGAGAGAATATGGCAGGTTCTGTAGGAGGCTTTGATGGTCACTCTAAGGAGTTTAGTATTCACTCAGAAGGCCTTCAAAGCTTTTTGAGCAGGAAGTTGATATGAGGTCCTTCTTGACTAGTATATTAAAATGTATTATAGAAAAATGATTATATAATTCTAAAAGTTATAATAACAGAAAGTCATAATTATCCATATCAACTGATGATACTCTAGTCACATATGAAGAGAATAGCTCCATTCTCAGGACATGGGAGGAGACTTTCACACCAAGCTACAGCTTGGTTCATTGGTTGGAGGACCACTCAGTGCCATTTTCTTCAATGTTACTAATAATCATGGCAGATTACTTTTTTAAGGGCTTATAAATTTGGCTGTAGAAGAATAATTAGGATACAAATAAAAATATATAATGGTCTAAGTGTGAAATTCTGAGAACTTAAGATTTCTTAATGGCCCACACCTTTCCTAAAATGTCCCTGTATATACCTCCAAATAACTTTATTCTTTTGTTAACTCTCTCTAATTGTGGTAACTTAGCTAATCTCCAAGTAATATAAAAATATGGTAGTAATTAAGTCTTAAGGTGGCTTAAATATTACAGACTTGTAAATAAAGAATAATAATGAAACAACAAAAAAGAAGTGAGAGGTTTTGGCATAGATAGGATATAAGCAAAATACTGGTACTACATCAGGGATAGGATGTTCATTAGGGGAAGGTTTAGGGAGTTATTGGGAAGACCTCTTCATTACAAGATGAGTTTTGAAATGATGATTATATGTTTATTCAGTTGAAATTTTTGGAGACAATGAGGTAGATGAGGAGAGAAAGTAGTTGTGGAGATTTAAATGGTGGGACATACCCTGAGTCAGTTATGTCAGTTCTATTAAAATTACTATTAACACCAATTTTACAACTAGCGATAAGCCTGGGGAAAATTAAAATACCGCTGAGCCTGTAGAAATTATAGTTTATTATCAGGTGGGAAGAATCTTCCTCTGTTTACCCCAAGCCTTTATATGGACAACATTCCCACCATAGATTTTCAGCATCATGCTTTAGTGACTGGCATTTTTATTCAGACTATTATACATTTAAGACAAAGAGATGTGTAAGACATATTTTAAACAAATATTTGGTATTTATCTTCCATTTTCATATGAGACATATATAATTGTTATAGCTCTTGAGAAAGAGCAGCTACATTTGATGTCAGTGAAACTTTCACATTAACATATGAGATAAAATATTTAGGGAATAAGAGAGATGGTAAATGAGCAGGTTAACAATTTTGTGTTATGTGCAGCTCATAATTGTAGCTCTGTGAGGAGCTCCCACTGAGTCAATGGAAAATGTGGGTGGAGGTTAATGCCAGGTTAATTGTTGCATTCAACATCATTCAGGAGAAAAAGTGGAGATAAAATTGCAGCATTTACATTTCTGCCTTTCAATTTTCCTTCATCTCTATACTTGTTATATTTCTTTCCTTATTATTATTTATATCCCATGTCTGATTTTTTCCTCTCCTGTCTCCTTGGTTTATTGAAGAGATATATTCCATAAAATTGACTTTCAAAGCATTTTAAAAATAAAGAAAATGCTATTCATCTATTCATTTTCAATATAGAGTTAGAAATATAGTTCCATGGAAAATATTACCAAGTAATATGATTGAAAATAGATTTTGTGAGGAAAGAGGTATTTTCCTGGATGTCTCTATAGCATGCTAGAGATTGTAGCACAGCAACAATGCTAAGCCTGCAGGTAATTTTAATTATCATCTGACAGGTCATTTTTCTTCTTTAGTAGTTTTCTAACCCTTTGGGATTCACTTGTCTCAATGACTATAGATGTTTCTTCCATGTAATGAAAGAACTTTTGACTTCAAATGCGTAGCTTCAAGAATTTGGTTCTCATATTCTCTATGAATCCTCATCTTTACAATGTGATTTACATCAGAGTTATAGGGTAATCATGTGTCAAGGATACTACTACCTAACATATCATCAACTCTAGGTTGAAATTCTCTTTAAATTGGAGGCTTCAAATTACTATTAACTGTTCTTTTTCACTTTTTTTTTAATTCAGAAAGTTAATATTTATGTAAAGTAAAGGGCATCTCCATTTTACTTCTCATGTACTTATTGTTCTTTTCTTCATGCTTTTACTCTTCAAATTTTCCACTTCTATGTTTGATTTTATTTTATTACTTTTATCAATATTAATATTTCCCTTCCAAATTTTTCCTTTCTGAGATGTTCATTGCTAAATTTGGAAAGAATTTACACAAATCCAGAGGGAATTGAAGGTAGCAGTACACACACACACACCCTAATGTGAACTGTAGATTGTCATGTTTATTAGATGCAAAAAAATCCTTTTTAAAAACTTACTTTTCCTTTGTGGCTTGGCCTTCCAGAAAGAGCTCTGGAAAACAAATTTCCATTAGGTTACAAATTTTATTAAATATTTTAGTGAAATAAACACTCAAATTAAATTTGTAAGATTTTGACATCATGTATGTGTTTAAATATTTGATTACCTTGTTTATCTCAAAATTTAAGTATTTTGATGAAAAATTCTATTTTGATAAAAAAAGCCTTTTAAAATTGCCATTTAATTTTTACAAACCTGAGCACATTCTATGGTACAAAGAATTATTCAACTGTATTTGTTCATAGGCTTTTTTGGTGATTTTCAGGACTTTTTATTTTATCTGTATGGAAACCATGAGTTATTCATTAATTTTTCTAGGTATACAAAATCCAAGTTAATTTTAAAGTTTAAACAAATCAAAATATGTTAAGATGTTTTTCTAAAACTTGGTAACATCCTTATTTCCATCAGATGAGATAGAGACTCCCAGATGGGCTTTTCCCTATTTTTTCGGAATGAGATATAGGTTAACCTTTGTATTCCTCTTGGCCAGAAACTCATTACTTACTAAAGAATTTATTGAATAATATTCTGGTGTTACTCGTGACTTAGAAGTTTTCATTTGGGTACAATAGCAATCAAGTATCAAACTATTGTCTAATTCTATTTATATTGTTGGAACTTTTAGGAGTTAAAAATCCAGAAATTCTTATTAAGAAGATTTTAAATATGGAAATATAAAAATAGAATATAGACAACTGCAATTGATCTCCCAGCTTGATAACAGATGGAAATTTTTAGAGCTGAACACATTCTTTCTATTATCTAGCTGTAAAAGGAAAATATCATGATGAAAAACAAATGCATTTACCATGTTCAAACTATATTCTTATAATCCTCATTTTGTACCAGAATTTTATCCAATAGAGTTCTAAAATATAAACATCAAGATATAATTCTATGCATCTCATATTTTTCTATGATTTTAGGCAAATGACTTAATTCTACTGATTAATATTCAGCATGTTTCTAAAAGTTGAACCAATACTGAGACATGTAGAAGCTCCCTACTCATTTAAAGGATATAAATTGCATGTGAATAAGACCATGTTTGGATTTTGCTTTATTTTGTTTGGTCTTGTCTGCAAATCTAACACATAGTAGTGAATGAATAATAAATAGAAGGAAAAAAGGAAAGGGATGAAGAAAGGGACAAATTAATTAATAAATAAATAAATAGTGAGTAAGGCTTGTCTGATTAGGTGATAATCTAAAAAAATATATTTCTAAATATTTATGTTTTTTTAAAATTTTATATACCAACTACAATACAACAGGCTGACTAGTATTACCTAAAAAGTCTGGGTCCTAATGAATTGATAATTTATCTATAAGTAACATATCCAAGCACCCTGTTAGAGAGGGGTAGCATCTACTTACATTGCATTTGCTTTACAGGTTGTCTGAGATTTTGCAAATTACTGCAAGATTGCTTCTTACTAGGATTAAGTTCTAAAGTCAGCTAGCAAGGCAAAACTCACCCTTGAAATTCCTCCTATTACCCATAAAACTTAATTTGGTATCTATACTTTTATATAGTAATTTATAAATGCATTAAAATTTGGGAAATACTGAGCTAAATTTGAGGCAGAACAAATTCAATCCCTAGGTAGTGAGTGATCCACCGCACAGTGACACGGTGACCTTAGAGTTTGAGTCCCTGCTTTGAAATCAGCCTGCTGACTTTGAATCCCAGATCCGTCACTCAGAAGCAGTGTGACCTTGGTGAATAACTTAATATCACTTGCTCCATATCCACATGTGTAAACGTGGATTATAATTGGACCTATGGAACAGGTTGTTGTGAGAATCAACTGAGATAATCTGTGTAAATGGTTTGAAACTTTCTGGTGTTCAGTAAGTATGTTTACTATTTCTGTTGGCTTTATGATAACTATAAAATTCCTGATAAAGAACAAATGATGGATGAGAATTCTAAAATGTTTCTGTTTACCTGAAGGATTTACTACATTCTGTTTTAATAAATCTGCTTCTGTAAACTTAATTAATATAAATACATTGTTTCCTAGGGAGATAAATGTCACCTGGCACACAGTAGGTAATGCTTATTGGATTTTAATCTAAATCATGCTTGAGCAGATTGACGTGCACACTATTCTTGGAAAAGATATGGAGATCACCTTGGCTGCCTGCACCCTGTCTTTACAGTCTGCCAGTACTTTTGGAGGCCCTACTGAACAGGAGTCAATCTTATGTTCTTAGGCATTAAATGCAGATTAAGTGAGGGTTGTCTTCTAAATCCAACCCAAAAATTGAATGTACCTACAGTGTAACTCTACTGCACTAACACCTACCAGTTTACTCCTCCTGCATAAATATTTTTGGCTCCTTAGCCAACACAAAGCCTTCTACCTGGCAACACTTCAATATCATAGCCAAACCCAGCTAGAATCCACAAAGGAATGATGGTTCCTCTAGGTGCTCTGTCCTGAAGCCTCCATGTCCATTTCTATCCTTGCACACACACACACACACACACACACACACACACACACCCCACACTTTTTGTACTGCCAGTTACTTAAATGTCTACCCCTTTGTCACTATCACCTCCATTGAACTTTTCTCTGATAGAGCCATTAGACACTGGGAGTCCCTGCCTCCACTTGTATAAAGATGAGTTGTATACAGTGGTAGCAGGTGTATTCTTTCCTACTGAAAGGTGTATTCTTAACATACCCAGTCTGAATATCCCTTCGTTCAACCAAAATTTATTCAGTGTTGTATTAATGCCATACTAGAGATTGTGTGGTGTACTTAAGATACTAATAGGTGAACAAGATACACTGATTTCATGACACCTATGAGCTGGCAGGGAAGAATGAAAATTGTATTAAAAATTTGCTGTAATGTATGCACCAATGCAACTCTGTAGCTAAATTTTCTTGGTTTTAATAGATTGGTAAGAACAGAGTATATCTTGTATAAATATGAAATATTTGTGAGGACCCCAATATATGTCTATTCTGAGTGACAAGCATAGTCATTTGAAAAATAACCATTTTCCGAAGTTTTTCTTTTCCTCTGTGAAGGAAAGAGGGTCAACAAGGGTTTGACATTTTTCATTCATTTGTCTCATTCTACCAGTTATTCTATGATCTCTTTGAGAGAAATCTTTCCTTTTTATTTTAAACTGAAAAATGAAGAAAACACTGTTTTATACACACTGTACCTGTGTGCCATATTTAAGTAGAGATTATTATTTTTCATCATCTTTCCTCATGACAATGAAAGTCAAGTTCCTATGACATGAAATTGCATTGGCCAAAGGTTATCATAGTGATGTGTGACTTACTTAACAACGTCACAACTTGCTTTTATCTGATGCTTTTCATTGCTATAAAATAAAATAGTATTTGATAATTACAGAAATAATTATAGCTATAGTGATTGAGGCCCTACTGTATATGCCAGGTACACACAGAATATTTATTAATATTATTTTATTTCATCATTCCTATATCTCTATGAAGAAGATATTATTCTCTATTTATAGAGGAGCAAATCGGCACACACAGAGGCTAAGGAATGTAACCACTTTCCCCAGTGAGCCATATCCCAAACCTTATCTTTCTTCCACTCTGCCCAACCTCCCAATTCTCAGAAAACTACATCTAAAAACCCCACCATGGATCATATCACTGTTCAATAATTAAAAGTGTGGATTTGGAATGTTCCTAACACAAAGAAATGACAAATGCCTGAAGTGATGGATACTACAGTCATTCTGATTTCATCAATCCACATTGTATTCCTGTATCAAAACATCAAATGTACACTATAAATATATACAACTATTACATACCCATAATAGTTAAAAATAAAAACATTTTAAAAAGCTAATATGAAATTTCTACATTCCAATCTGTTCCTTGTTGATAGTTCTGACATTGATATTCAAGGTTGCCCATGAGGTTGTTTATATGCTAGCAAGTTACCTCACATGGAAATTTCAATTGCTATGACTACGTCTTTGAATAAGATTCTAATATGGACCAAACAATAGAGACACATAATTAAGACAATGAGGCTAGAGACTGATTCATTTGATGTTACAATGTATTCCTTGTAAAAGCTAACACACTCAAAGTGGTTTTTTTTAGCTTTTCTCACAGATGTATATGATCGACTCTAAGACCTCTGCAGTGGTTTGAATGTACCACATATATGGAAATGAATATTTCTTTTTAATTGAAATCTCTCTTTTTAAAATTTCAGCATATTACAGGGGTACAGACGTTTAGGTTACATATATTACCTTTGCCCCACCCGAGTCAGAGCTTCAAGCCTGTGCATCCCCCAGACAGTGCACACCGCACCCATTAGGTGTGAATATATCCATCTCCTACTCCTCCCTCCCAGCTGCCTGATGCCCGATGAATGTTATTACTATATGTGCACATAAGTGTTGATCAGTTAATACCAATTTGATGGTGATTACTTGTGGTTCTTGTTTTTTCATTCTTTTGACACTTAGTAGAATGGGCTCCAACTCTAACCAAGATAACACAAGAGGTGCTAGGTCCCCATTGTTTTTTGTGGCTGAGTAGAACTCCATGGTGTACGTATACCACATTTTATTAATCCATCCATGTATGGATAGGCACTTGGGTTCTTTCCACATCTTTGCAATTGTGAATTGTGCTGCTATAAACATTCAAGTGCAGATGTCTTTTTTATAGAATGTCTTTTTTTCCTTTGGGTAGATGCCCAGTAATGAGATTGCTGGATCAAATGGTAGTTCTACTTGTAGCTCTTTGAGGTATCTCTATATTACTTTCCACAGATCTCTTTTCTCTAATCATAAACTGTGCCTATCTTAAGCTTCTCTTGAAAAACCTTTATGCATTCTCAAAGCACAGAACTAATGCCTTAAAAACTATTTGCATTTTACATTTGGCTATTTCAATTACTGTGAATGGCTCCCTTTAGATTTCACTGTCTTTTTGCTTTGTTCTGTTATACAAATG